CAGAGGCAGCTCCACGCGCTCAGGGCCGTCGTGCTCCGCGAGCTGCAGGCCAAGAAGGCCGCGGCGGCGGCTAAGGACGACGCGGGCCCGGGGGCCAAGACCAAGAGGGCGCTGGAGCAGCGGGAGACGGACGGCGCCGGCGCCGCCGGTAACGCCGCCGAGAGCAACAAGGCCAGGAGGACAGAGTGACAGACTACTAGCTTAGCTTGTCCACGCATGGATTCTAGCTCGATCCGTCGTCGAGTTCGTTCATCGACGATTCATCATTAGTTGGTTCTTTGTATTATTTTATTGGCACATTTGCATTGATTCTTTGATTCATTGCTGTTAGTATTGATTAATGTCATAATAATACGCTTCGTTGTCAACGAGTTGTTGGTTTTGAACGAAGGGATAAAGAAGAGGACAAATAATCCTCCTTTTTTTTCTTTTTTCTTATTAGGAAAAAAAAAAACTCGACATGATAGACCTTTCTCTAGGAATAGAGAACAGACCCAGATGAAACTCGGCTTCAACTGATGGACGCCGCGCCCCTTTGGGCTTCGGCGGCCTTTCCAGCTTTCGGCCGTTCCAACAAGCTGAACACCGTCAAATCGAGTCCCCACATAGAAAGATATTGGTCCGGGCCTTTCTTGGACATATTTTTCCTTTCTTCTAGACTTAACTATCCGCATCTTCTTCCTAATATAAAAAGAAAAACAATAATAACACACATCTTCCTCTTCGGTCAAAAAAAAACCCCCCGAAAAAAAGCATCACTGAAGCCCCTCGGATGGAAGCAGGAAAATTGCAAAATGCTAAATACCACACAAGATTTCTCCGGCATAATTTTATTTCAGAAAATGGTAGCTTCGTCAAAATGTGTAAATAAAATTTTCGTCAACATCTGACGCGGCACTCAAAATAGCTCTTTTTCCAAACTAAAATTTTTTATGCAGTTTCAACACATAAATTTTTTTAGTACCATAAAATTAAGATCCAACAGTCTCCATCCTTCTTCTACTTCTAGCCTCAAGCCTTCTTCTACCTCCAAACAATCATAAATCACAATATCACAGATTACAAGAAATATTTTTTTATACAGAAGGACAAATCATAGATCGCAGATGTGTTCATGTGTTTGTTATGACATGTGGGCCCCAGATGTCATAGATATAAAAAAATTCATGTGTTTTTTTTTGCTAAAACACATGTGTTGTATAGCTTTTCTGAACTAAAAAAACTAGACCGCTGCCTGTTTTCGTGGCCGCAGATTGTACTTCTGGGAGACAGACGCCGTGATGGAGTTCTCACCGATCTCCTCCGCCACAACGATTTCGTTATTCGCCTTGGGTTAGAGCGACCACTCACTCACGTGATAGAGACGATAGCCTGGCCCGCTTCTTAAACCCGCTTGATCCGCTTGTCCTGTTTTCCTCTCAACCCCGCTCTCGCGATCCATCCAGATTTATTTTTCATCCCAAAAAATGGGCCTATGTTTTCCTCTCACAAATTTCTCCAGAAGATTCATCCAGATTCTCCAGGCCTTGTTTCATCCAAATTCTCCATCCATCAATTTTTAGTTGTTTGCATGGAGCATTAAATATAGGTAAAAAAAATAACTAATCCATCTTGCTGTCCACCTTGTCTGCCAGCTCGTCGAAGACCCACGAGAAGGGCATAATAATTCACTGTAAATCAAACTATAAGATGTCTCTCAAACTTTGTTGTTGGTGTCCCAATTTGGAAGAAGCTCACGTTAGCCGTCGTGCACGCTGATATGCCAAACGGTTATTTCTGGTTTGAACCAGAAAACAAAACGAAGAGCAGAAAAGAATACTTTTTTTATATAAAAACAAAAAGGAATAACTCTCCCCACTCTGTTGCCCTAACGAATCGAGCGCTCTCCCCGTTTCCCTACCCCAGCTGACCCCTGACCGCCGCCGCCACGCCGCCACCCCCTCCACCTCACGCCGCCACCCCCTTCGCCTCCGCGCAATTGGCCGCACTCCTTTCCCACCTCCCGCTACCGGGTGGCGTGGGCCGGTCGGCGGCGCGGACGCGTGGAGATCCGCCTGCACGCGGACTGCTTCCTTCGCTAGGCGGTAAGGAACCCTAGTCCCCCTTGCTTTGCGTCGACGGATTCCTCGTCCGTGCACCCAGTGGCGGAATATTCTCTTGCCGTCCCTCCCAAGCTATCACCCCCCAATTGGTTCTCTATTTCTTGCATCCAAAGTCGAGGTTTTTGCGCCCCCAACCGTGTCCGAGATTTGCCCCCCTAGGGTTTACGCGCGTTCCCCCTCGTTTGCTAACGGCAGGGTCGCATTACTGTTGGGGACTTTTGCTGCTGCTGATGCGAGTAATTCCCTTTGCTCCGAGCGCGCGCTTGAGTGGCGTACCCTAGGCTGAGTTTCGTCGTTCTATGCCGTCCTCGTTGTAAATCCACTGTGCTTAGGTAATCTCGCACCTTTCTGTTGCTTATTATAGGCTGGGCATCTGTATTTTTCACGGCGTGAAGAATTTCTCGTTTTGGTAGATCCCAAAGTCTCCCTTTTCCCCCATTGTCTTGAGCACTCAGTCCTGTAGACTAGACTGGTGATTCACACGCACATGATGCGATCGTATTAGTGCCATCCATGGATTATGCCTGAATTTCGTCCCTGATTGGTCCTAGTCAGGCTTTCTATTGTAAGTTTTTCGGTGTTAAGTTTGGCGTAGATGATCAATTTGAAGTCTTTCGTGGTTTCTAACAAGCTCTTCTCTGTGCCTTATCTGTCAGATGGAAAGTAAGCGCTGTCAGGTCTCATGATTTCTTTTGGGAGATCCGGAGCTGTGGTGCCTGACTGACTCATCATCTCAGGGACACTGCCAAGTACAACTCAGGTTGGTATTTATACTACTCTTTCGTCTCTTTCTTCCTCTCTCTCAACAAGCAAATCGTGTGGTCTGTTCATTTCCTGGTTAGATTAGTAGCTTCTTGACTTGGTCCATGGGACACCCTAAAACTTTTTGTAAGCAGCCCTCACTCTGAAAATTGAACTACTGCACTTTCTGGAGAACTTGTAATTGACTAGTGAATCCAGTGCACCTTTATAGTTTTGTTGTGACCAGGGTATTTGTTTGGTTCTGTAGTCTTTATTTCTAATTATCATTGACTGAATGGGTCGTCTAGTATCTCCCCTTAGGAAATGCGAAGAAAGCGTGGTTCAGTCTCTTAAGTTTGCCTGTGCATTGACCTAACTGTTGTTGTGGATAATGTAAATATTGCACACAAAAAAACATTTCTTGTAAAATCTTACCAACTTAGCAATCCTATTTTATCTCGTTAAGAGGAATTAACTATGGTCAGTGGGTACACAGTTTTTTAGGCAATTTAACCTTATGGTTGTCATTTGCCTAAAAAGGTCACTGAGAGATGGTTGTCGTAGCGAGTAAACGGAAGGAATTCATGGGAGCTGATAGAATTATCTTTCTCATATGCAGGAAGGATTTTGTAAATGCCACTTTTTGGAGTTTCTGGCCTTTTGGTTTAGTCCTCAAGACTATAGCTAGCAATTATCTAAAGAAACAAATGAAATGTTAATTGCCACCAAGTTGGCAAAATTCCCAGAAAATAGCAGTTGAGGGAGAAACTTCATTGCAATGCTAACAATACCAGTGCCCAGGTCATGACAATCAGAGCCAGTAGCAACTGAACCTTAAGTAGCCACCAAGTTTGGCAAAACTTCTGCAACTCAATAATTGAGGGAGAAAATTTTGATGCAACTTGTGCCCAAGCCGAACGGCCCAAGATTTCTGCAGTTGCTTCTTGAAATAGTCTCTTGATAGGAAGGGCAAATTTGTAGATGTCGTGAGAGTGTAGAAAGCATGCACTGTAGTCCTCTTTTTACCTGTAAGATAAGATTGTATGGCCTATTTGAGTTGTAATGAGATAAGCTCACAAAAGTATATTTTTTTTTCTTTGATGTGTCTTGATTGGGAAATAATTGTAATGAGAAAAGCTGCGCAAAAGAAATTTCTTTGACGTGTCTTTATCAGGCTATATACTCTGGTGAATGAAATTGAATTGTTTGTGATGATACTCTTTGGTTTGCCGTTAAGCAATATTCGCGTGTCAGATAGTTCCTGTTCTGTCGAAAATGCTGTGATGCCCATTCAGTTGTCCCCTTCATTGATGACATTAAAGAAGATGCAATCAGTAGTCCTAAATAAAGAGAAAGAAAATACAATCAATTAAGCAACAGAACTAATAAATGAAAATGCATTGCCGAAACAAATGTCTGTGTGCACGTGTGTCATTTGTGCTATTTTGCGCTTGGCACTATTACAGTGTGTATGGCTGTTGTTGAGTCTGAACAAATGTTCTGTGGATTTTGCACATCCCTTTGTGTTTGCTCCAATCTGTGCTACCGCAGTTACTCCATTGCTTGGTAGATGGTCTCCTGATTGTGCTGGCCGTGGTGCTGACTTAGATACTGCACTATCTTTTCGTTCCAGAATCCTGCATATTCTAGTCTTGCTTAGCAGTATTTAATCTTGCCCAGCAGTTTCTTAATTGGTAAAGTTCTTCTATTTCTGGTTGATGACTTTTAGGGCTAGAGTCATTGGATTTTTAGACACCGACTGGTTTATTTTGGCGTGAAGAATTTTGGACCCCACTGCCAAATTTTTGGACAACAAACAGCTGCCATGTGGTAGGGAGCATACCTGTGGAGTTGGCTAGCCGCATCCTGCCAATGGGATGTTCATAGTTGATAATTTTTAAATTATTAGCTTAAAGTGTTTTCTACTTACAAACTCCATTACAGTTTTGAACTTTTGATTTGAAGATCTAGAATCTAGGGACTTCAGAGGATAATTTTATTGTTGTAGAAGTATGTTCTTTGATTAATTGTAACTATATACATATTAGCACTTGGCTATTTCAGAGATTCAGAAGAACTTTTGCAAGGAGAAGGGAGGTCTTGTACTTGGAACTACTTGATAGCCGTATTTTTAGAGGTTAGCAAAAGGAGGTTGGAATGACTAGTGAAACTAGGAAACAGCGTTCCAAGTGGGACACGAAAGAAGGATCTCATGAAGTAGTTGAGATCAGTGAAGATGAGTCTCCTGATAAGACAGTTGTTCACCGTAAAGGTGGCGATTTACACACAAAACCTGACACATCCATGCACCACGGAGGTGCTGGACATGAGAAGGAACAGGCTGATGGGTTCAATAAAGATATGAAGGAAATACAACCTAAGGCATCCTCTGAAAGATCACAGCCTCTTAGAATGGCTGATGAGCGTGATAATAATGAGTGGAGCAAGGCAGCTGGTAACCAAGGCATGAACAGATATGCAGATGACAGAAGACGTGGTGATGGATGGGGTACAGCTCCTAGTCATGGTTATTCTTCTACTAGGGCACCTTCTGATCCAGATGCATGGAGGCAGCGCAGCCGAAGTCCATCTCCAAGAGGGGTTTGGAACAGATCACGCAGGTATGGTTGAACAACTGATTTTATTGACTGCACAAATATTGTCACTTTGGTTATGTGGTCCCTGCGTATAGTGTGTAAACAACTCAGATGCAAATTTTTGTGTCAAATTTTGATCATGGAAGTGGAAGTATCCAATACGGACTTTACGAGTACTCTGTAAAATATATTAAACCTGAGGTCCATAAGTTTCGTCACCTGTATTAACACACAAGCAACACAATGTATTCCTGACACTACGAAGTAGGAGCAAGGAATTGAAAAATGTGGTTCTTGATAATTTATGTTCTACTTGTAAAGAATCTCTACCTCTCCTGTTCTAATCAACCTTGATCTGAAAGATGGTATATTAACTTAAGAGTCAGTCACAACTTCTAGAATTCCATTGTTTGAAATGTCATCGAAAGACTTGGTATACTAGCAGTACCTTTTCTCTACAATGTGTGTTTCTTTCAACAGGAACAGGAGTCGTTCCAGAAGCAGAAGCAGAAGCAGAAACAGAAGTAGGAGCAGAAGCAGGAGTATAGGGCGAGGCAGAGGCAGGAGCAGAAGTCCATATTTTGCTGACCGTGGATCTGAGTGGAGGGTTGAGAGAGGCAGAACATCTGGAGGACCTGTTCGGCCCTGTAGGGATTTTGTGTCTGGTAGGTGCAGAAGAGGCTCAAATTGCAGGTTCCTTCATGAAGATGGTGGGCACAGGCCATTTGAAGGTCATTATCCTGCCGACCCAAGGGCTGGGTATCAGAGCAAGGAGTTTATGGATACAAGAGAACCAAATGACTATCTGCGGAGTAGGCAATCTCGAGATCGTTATGATGATGGGCCTTGGGAAAGATCTGAACCTCGAAGGGATTATCGGTATCCTGCACCATGCATTAATTTTGCCAAAGGGAAATGCATCAGAGGTGCTAGTTGCCTATTTGCGCATGGTGATTCTGCTTCTCATGGTAGATGGAGAGATGAGGCTAGGGAAAGTGCCCATGATAGAGTTGGCCCTGATTCATCCTATGGGAATAGGACTGAGCACCGTAGGGTAAATAAAAACCCTTGTAAGTTTTTTGCTGAAGGTCGTTGTCGCCGTGGTGAAAATTGTCCATATCTCCATGAGGAAGCTCCCCAGAGTCAGATAGGAGTGAGTGCACCTGATGAGGCTTTGAATTACAGTGATGGGCATGCAGCAAGAGGAAACTATTCAAACTGGGGTGAACAAAATAATGCTGTGCGTGCAACCTCTCAGATTTTATCCAGGGATGACAGGGAAAATCCTATTTCTCAGAGTATTGGCAGAAATGATTCTCGCAATGATTATGAAAACCGGCATTCAAAAGATGCTGGAAAGAACCAGTACCAAATTATTCCTCAGGAAGATTTTGGTTCACAAGGGCAAAAGAAACATGAAGTTGCTATTTCACAACAGCCACAGTTATTGACTCCTGTCCAGACTACTGTGCATAGCATGCATAATGAGAAGGCATCTGAAATGGGCAGTCAGAATGCTCCTTCAAGCATTGGAGATTTGAGCATGCAATCAGGGGTGCATAGTGCTAATATTATAGCAGAGCAAAACCTGGGTCAAATACTTCAGAGGCATGATGCAATTCCTCATATTCCTGGGCAACCAACTCTTCCGGTCACCACACAATTGCAGAATGTTACATCTTCATTCCCTTCAAATAGCCACGTGCAACAAAATAACTTTCCTGTTCATCAAAACAGGCAAGAGCAGTTTGTAGTTCCACAGGCATCTGCAAATAACTCAACTCCCAGCATGCAGGGCCAGCCAGTTGCTTCTCATATGGGGCACGGCCAACATGGCGGCTATGGTCTAGAGCCACAGGCGTTGCCAAATCTCTCCGCACATAATGGGCATAATTTCAATGTTGCCAGCCAAGTTCCACCAAATATTCCAACAGCTGTGCATGCTGGGCAGACTCAGGCGACAATTGACATGCCAAGGTTGGGTCAAGACAGTGGTCCTCAAAGCATACACAACGTGGAGATCCAGCCAATGTCTCCACATGTGCAAAGTCAATCCTTGCAGGGGTTACCCGTTGTGCCAACTTCCAGTTCACCTGATATGACTGGAGTTCCTGTTTCTCACAATGCTGTGAAAAGCGAAGAAGTTAGCCGAGTTACTGCATCCTTGGCACAATACTTTGGAAATACCACTTTTGGTGCTGGCACCGTTGGATTACAATCATCGCAGCCTAATATGAATGCAAGCCTGATGGCCACTTCATCTGCTGTACCACCAGCTGTACAACCCAATCAGTGGCACTGGGCGCAGCAACAAACAGGCATAGTCCAACCTGGTCTCCCCGTTCCACCTCAACAGCAGCAGCAGCAGGCTCCCCAGAGCTTCCAGACACCAATCGCCGTAGGTAGCAGTAATGGCAACTCTATGCTGTTACCTAATGCAGGTGCACCGGTTGGTCCCGCTGCGGCTGCTTTGGTGGTGAAGGAAACCGTGCCTCCAGAAAGCAAGAAAGGAGAGAAGAAAAATAGTGACGCAGAGGCACATGAAGATGGTGATAATAATAATAAGAGCAAGGACTCTAAGCAACTGAAGATGTTCAAGGTTGCACTTGCAGACTTTGTGAAGGAAGCCCTGAAGCCAACGTGGAAAGATGGCCAGATGAGCAGGGAGGTCCATAAAACCATCGTGAAGAAGGTTGTCGACAAAGTTACAAGCACTGTAGAAAATACCCCTCCGACCAAAGAGAAGATTGACATCTACATGACCTACTCCAAGGAGAAACTAAATAAACTTGTGCAGGTGAAGTCAGCCCCCTCCGTCATCACTCTTTTGCTCTTTTGATATCTTTCTCCATTGTGCGCTCTAACCTCATTCTGGCTTTGTTGCATTGCACGCAGGCTTATGTTGGCAAGTATGCCAAGTCGTAACATTTCGCCAATAACATTCTGACGCCCATTTTGCTCCCGAGGTCTGGAAGGATTTGAAGCACCGCGTGCATCCGTGCTTCAGAGGTTTAGGATTTGTGAAGCAGGAGCTGGGTGGGTGGCCGCCTGGGCCCAAGCCGTCAGTCTTTCTCTGCAGTTTCAGAGTTTAGCGTGTTGTTTGGTAGTAGACAGGTGGTGGGCAATGGTGCCGTTCCAACATCTGACTGTAACTTTTGTAGAATTGTTTTATTCGGGGATTGAACACTGTGTGGCGAAATCATGCATTGTGTGGATCATTTTTTATGAATATAGGACTATAGGAGGCATGGTACATGCATGCTGTGATGTGTTTGGTGCTCATCGATTCGCCATGTCCCAGGGCTGTGGCCTTCTGCTGTACTAAGCTGATCGTGGCTGGTAATATAACTCCTATTGTTGTATAAGGTGTTCCAAACAGCAGCATGTTACACATGGCAGGTTTTAATCCACTCCTTCACGGTTTAGGCTGGTACCATTTTCGCTCTCCGTTTAGGCTGATACCATTTCTCTGGGCTCTGGTTACTACAGTCGCTACTAAAGGCAGATCATCAAATACTTGGACTGGCCCTCTCCCGGTACCTGTAAATATGCAAGCCATCCACGATTTAGCGGAGTCTGGTGATGGTAATGAAAGGGCAAAAAATGGGGTGGGCGATGGGTCCATGGAGCCACCGTGCGCCCCCTGGCTAGATGGTCGACGCGTGGCCAGAGAAAACAAATCAATTTCTTCGGCGCTTTCGTCTGGAGGTTGCCTGCGGGAGGCGGCCGATGGTTCTCAATGCCCGCGGCGAGCTGCTGCTGCTGGTGCTCGTCGACTGGGTGCGCCAGGTATGGGCGTCCTCTGGCTCTATCGTCGACACCATGGACCCAAGGTTGGAACTTGGAAGATTATGATGCTGCGCTGAGGCGGAGCTAATGCTCAAGCTTGGCTTGTTGTGCTCACACCCGCTGCCCGCCGTAAGGCCTGGCATGCGCCTCGTCATGCAGTACCTCGACGGAGTTTTCGCCAGATTATCTTGCTATTACACATACTAGCCTAGTCCTTGAAACACCCCCCCTCGGTGGCTACTACCATTACAAGTCTATCTGGAGGAAGGTAGCCTGTCTCTCTCTCTCTCTCTCTCTCTCTCTTAGTGTCAATATAAGAGCAGTCCCAATGGTTTGTTTCATTGGCATTAGTTAGGATGCCAAGTGTGCCTGATATATATATATATATATATATATATATATATATATATGGCATTGGAATTAAGGAGGACGTATAAGAAAATGGCTATTTGTATATATACAAGACACTGTGTCTACACCGAAACCAAGATTCAAAGATGTGTCATAGATAGATGATCTGATAGGAGAGAGAATATAGACGATAGAATGTAAATTTAATTTGTAGAAATTATTTATTGGGAATATAGTTTTTATGTAGTGTCCATATATATATATATTGATTAGCAAAGTATGGAAACTATCCTATAGTACCATGATTGAGTATCATCATTAATTATTGAATGAAAGCTCCGACGACCTATTTTTGAGTGGAAGAATCAAGATAATGTTTGTTCCTTTATTTAGTTTCCTAGAGAATAAAAAATCATAGGACCTACTCCATCTGCCCTCAAATAGAATGAATTTTCAATTGTCCTCTAAGTTAAACCATTATATTTTTTTTTAAAAAGAAAAGAGTATTAACATCTAGTGTATTGAAGAGGTAAATCATGGAAATCCATTTCATAGTATACATATCTAATGAAACTCAATTGATTCCGTAATTATTATTTTCCTTTTCGACAAACATAACCAAAGGCCCTGTTCGCTTGTCTTATAATTTATACTTTTCAGCTTGTTTTTTCAGCCGGAACAGTGTTTTTCTCTCACAACAAATTAACCGGAACAGTGTTTCGGCTTATTTTTTCAGCGAAACGAACGGGGCTAAAGTTAGACTAGTTCGACTTAAGACAAATTTAATTCATATGTTTCAGGATGGAGGGAGTATCTGTGTATATGGTGTCGTTTGAATTATTGTTAGAAGTAGAAACAACCTCCCAAATCTCAATGATAGATCCCAGCTGTGTCAATGGGAAGAAGTGCCTACGTTGGTGATGAATGTATCTCAGTTGTTGAATGGCATATTTGAGTGGCTTACTTTCTTAATAATCAATGACACTTGCACCCACTCTGAAATTTCTGCAAAACGTACTCGTGCATTTCCAAATATGCTCACTACGCCAGTCAGACAAACAATAAATTTTCCTTTTTTAATTAAGGAATAATATTCCAGCCTACGAACATTCACGGATAAATGAATATATCTGTTTTAGTACAAATCAATGACACTTGCATCACACTCCACTATATATGGTGATACAAATCATTAAGAATCCATACATATCAAAGACATAAAAATAATTTAGGATCAATCCGATTTTTAAAACATCACCCAAACTAGTTGAAGAACTCCTCTAACACCATAGCCTCCACCAATCGGTTTCCCTTCTTTAGGACATATCTACATTGCCACACGTCAGCGAGTCTCATACTCCGTCTCATGCAATGCCATGTAGGATTTTTGCTTATGTGGAGAAAAGAGAGAGGGGAGAGAGAAAGAGGTCGTTGTTCGCGAAACAACCACCTCATGAGCTAAGATTTAGGACTATGAGACAACAATTGCACCATTATATATATGAGTTGTTGTTGTCATGCAACTCACAAGTTTACTTTAAATCTATGCATAAATTAAGGAAATATGAGAATACGACTTAAAAAAAGAACCATGGTATATGTTGTCTATTAAGTCATCTTAAAATTACATGGCACTATATGAGACTACCTATGAGACAACACCCATGTACTTGCTCTTAGATAGCTACGATTTCCTGATACAGTACATCCTTGAAATTACCTGCAAGAACAAATGAGAGGCGATCCTTTTGAAAATAACATCATTTCTACATAACCAAATCACCCAACACAAAGCTGTGGTGCCAAGTAAAAATCTGCTTTACGAGCCCTGAAGCTCAAAGGGAAGGGCACTTGGCTGGCGGCTGCTATGCTATGTGGGGAACTGGGATTCTGGAAGCGAACTGGGAAGGCTTCACGTACTCATCCTTGGATACATTGATTGGGCCATAAGTGGGCTCAATTTGTTGGGCTTCTCGTACACATCTTCGGCTTCTTGCGTATTTCGGGTACCCGACCAAAATGACCGAGAAACCGAAATAAGCGTCGGTCTCCTCAGACCGTTTTGGTGTCGGCGGAGGTTTCAAACGAGTTTCATTCTCATTTAATATTACGACACATCAGCAAATTTATTCAAATTAATTATTAAGAGAGATACAATGAGGGTGTGTTTAGTTGGGTGAAAGTTGGAATTTGGGCTACTGTAACACTTTTCGTTTTTATTTGATAAATAGTGTTCAATTATGGATTAATTAGGCTCAAAACGTTCGTCTCGCAATTTCCAATCAAACTGTGCAATTAGTTTTTTTTTCTGTCTATATTTAATGCTCCATGCACGTATCGCAAGATTCGATGTGATGGGTACTGTAGCACTTTTTTGATTTTGGGGTGCCAACTAAACACGCGCTGAGTTTCATCTAGATAAAACCCACTTACATACTTACCAATGTAAAAGTTGACGCGACAGTCTTGGTAATTGTACCATGGAACTTTTTCCAAAAACTGGCCAGCTGGCCTCATTGCTGCGACCGAGCGGATGACAGAAGACCAAGCGGATGACCAAAGAATAATGTGGCCGGGTCAGTCACCTTGTATATTTAAATATAAAAAAGAATATATAGGTCAGTGTGCACATATACCTCTTTATTAATACTAGCAAATATGCACGTGTGACACGCACGCGTTTCTAAAAACTATTTCAAATGCAATGGAAATGTTAATTTTATTGTCGATATACAATAAAGGTAGATGACAAGTGATTGATCGATTTGATCGGATGTGTAGAACAAGGTTCAAATCGTTTTTTTGTTAAGCCAATCTCAGTGGGGTTTCATGGCCCAGTTATCAACCCACTCATATTTTGGAAACGGTGCACAAGAGTTTCAGCTTACTACTTATATGTTTTCAGCAGTTATCCTGAGTTTTAGTATCCATATTGATTAGGGGTCACAACACGCATTCTTCTTAGGGTTGTAGCTGTCATATCAATTAAATCTTAGCAGGTTTTAAGGTAAGCCAAACGGGGCCTAGGGGTCCAGCACCCATCCCAATTAGGATCGCAACAAACGTACTCATTAGGGTCGCGTCATAAATAATGATTAGGGTTATGGAGTTTGTCCCACCGTAACCTTAGTTTGGTACTTTTTATAATTCTCAAATATATATATTTCCAATACTCGTGCATATTAATTAGGGTTCGTAACATACATCGTTTCTGATATACGTACTGATAACGGTTGCAACATGCACACTAATTAACGCAACAATAGGCATGCTGATTAGGTTACAGGTTTGATGTTCCGCCTAACCAATCGACTCACAAAACAAACAAAATGTATAATTGAATAAACAGTAAAAATACATATTTACCCCCAAATTTTTATAATATAGTTTATTGTTGTAATTTTGTTTTAGATGATTGAGCTTTGCACTGTGAGCTGCCATGTAATTTTAATTTTTTGGCTTAGTACTATTATTTGAACGTGAATCATATAGGAAATATTTTCTCGGAGGCCTTAGATACGTATCAAGCTGGATACATGTTTTTTTTTGGAGAAACAGCTGGATATGTTTTTTTTAATTAGCAACAAACAGCTGGATACGTGTATGTATCTGATACATATGAAATGAATTGGATACGGCCCAGCAAACAAAAAGCCTTTCAGGCCCAACATGCAGTCCAACCTGCGTGTAGCCCAGTGCTACCTTGCCTACCGGGCCGCACGCTCAACTCAATCACCGACGCCCACTCTCCGTCTCCGCTTTGGCCTGGCGACGTCCGGCGGCCG